TGGCTATCTATTTTCGCGAAATAAAATCTATGAATAATTCAGTAACCCAAGAAAACAAATTGCAATTATTAGATCAATAAGGTTTCGATGAAAACAAAAATAAGAAGAAGAACTCGTTGTCTTCGAAATATCATATTTGTTTAGTGATTTTGTTAATAGAATAAAATCGATGACTCTAGTAACCTAAGATTCGAGTTTAGGTAAACTTAATCTCCTCGAGAAGATACGAGAATGGTGATTTTTCTTCGAATGCTTCGGGACTACCCGCAGGCGCGAGTCGATGGTTTAGTCGTCGATGACAATAAGATCAGTCCATACCGGTCCACATTTACGTCGGTAGAATCTTTTCAATGGACATTACGACAATGAACCATTGACAGCAATGCTGTAGGAGGGAAAGAGAGAAAGAAAGAGATCTGTATGTGTGTGTGTATATACGTGTACGTGTGTATTGCGCAAAAAAGGGGCGGAGGGTTCCTTTGGTTGGTCGTTGTATAAGCCTGCTTGACTGTACTTTTCACGCCCTTTTTCCACAGCTCCACGCGAAATTATTATGTCGTTTCGAGCTCTCTTACTACTACTACTACTACTACTATTACTACTACTATTACTACTACTATTATTACTACTATCTCCCACCCTACCTTAAATCGTAACATAGACATCTGTCTAGGAAAAACATATCGAACAAACGCGTAGCACGTTTGATATATAATAAATAAGATCTATATTATTTGCAATTGAAACTTTTAATTGTTAAATTATTGGTAATAGGAAAAATGGTGTCGATGGTGTGATCTTCGTTATGAACTATATACTATACTATTATTCTCATCTAGACAATCGTATTGATTTTTTTTTTTTCGACAATTATCTACTGTCTTTATCGTTTCCATTATTTTCGTTGTTTTTGAAATCTTTGAAAACTTCTAAATCGTACAACTAAGTATAACGGTGTTAAAGTATACGAATGAATTATATTGAAATGAAAATTTAATGTAATGAAATATAGAAAGACAGAGACGGGTGAAGATGAGCGAATGAATTTATATAACAGCCTTTATTTTTTTTTTTTTTTTCTTTTTTTTGGTTTTTTTCTTTTTTTTTCATCGATATCATACAATTTTTTATAGATGTATAATTATGTACCACTTCGATTATTGAAATTAATCAATCGCTTTATCTTAATCACCGACTTTGTCCATCGACACCCTCATCCTATCGCCGAAAGTAACTTAATTGGCCTCATTAAGAGATAGCTCGAAAGACTCTGAATCCTTTTGAAATTTTTCATTTTCTTTCGTTCGCTTATCAAAAACATTGCACAAAATAATCACCCTTATCAATCCCTTGCACCCTTCGACGTTCGTGTAATCTGGATTTTTCTTTGTTTTCTTTACTTTTTTTTTTTCTTTTCTTTTCTTTTTTCATTTTTTCTTTTTAGACGAGACGTAACAGCGAGAAGGACGAAGAGAGGGGAGGACTGCAAAATTGTCTAATAATATGTGTGTTTGGCTAATGTGTGTGTGATCTAATATCGTTTGACTATTGATTCGTTTTCCTTTTGTCGGCTTTCTTTTTCTTCAACGAGCTATAACACGACACGATAACAAAGTGGAAGCCGCAAGGTACAACGGTTAATAATTATTGTTAAATTGATTTCTTCATTAAATTGCTATTCGTTTACTCGTGTCTCTAATTAATTTTAAGATAAGATTGACTTTTAGCACAAAAATACATTTTTATATAATAACGCCATTGTTCTTGGAGCTAAAATAGCGAGTCGATCCTGTTGTTGTCGAACTTTTCAGAAGTCTTCTTAATTTTATCATATATTTCATTTATTCCTTTTCGTATAGTGCCTTTCTTTCTTTCTCTCTCTCTCTCTCTCTCTCTCTCTCTCTCTCTTTCTTTTTCTGCTTCTTTTTTTCTTTCTTTCTTATTTATCCTGTTATTATCGTTTCCTTTAACGCGATCAACGTGAATGATCACGAATTGACGACGATATATATATATATATATATATATATATATATATGCATATATTACGATATTCATATAATATATTTACACACGAAGTTTTCTGTAACTTTAATATGCACTTGGAAGACAGAGGTTCATATGTTATATTAATAATATATCGATAATGTAAATATTACATATATATGGCGTATGTATACGCACGTGTGAAATGCGTGTATATATAGGTATATATATATATATATATACATATATATATACATATATATATACATATTATATTTCCACACACACGTACGTACAGGCACATACGCGGTACATTTAAAAACGCCGTATCCGCGTTTACAATATTCATCCCTCAAAATTATTCGCTTCGATCGTTAATCTTGCGATTGTTTTTCTTTCTCTTGGTTTAATTTTTTTTCTTTTTTTCTTTTTTTTTTTCCTTTTTTCTTTTTTTGGATTATATGCGTCGAGGAAGAAGAAAATCAAAGTGGGTATACGCTATAGAAATGTCGAACTTATCTTTATCTTTCCTTCTCTCTTCTCTCTCTCTCTCTCTCTCTCTCTTTCTCTCTTTCTCTCTATTATTTTCTTCCCTCTTTCTACCCCTCTCCTTATTTTCTTTTTATCTTACATGCGTCTTACCCTCGCATTATATCTAAGAAAATTTAATAATAATTTAAACTAACAGTATTGATCTCGATTAGGTCTTTTTATATGTGTTATCTGTCGACTATAGACAACATTCTTTTTGATTTAAAATCTTTAAATTGATGTGTGCTGTAAATTTTTAAATTATCACGATATTGAATTATTTCGTTCGACGATAATAACCAAGGTCGATGATGATATTTCGAAAGGATCGATTTTATATAATCGTACATACGTTTAATCGCGATCCTATTTTTAGATTTTATTATGAAATCATCGAGCTTCGTCAATCGTTACGATCTACGTATAATATATTTACACGATATGTTACAATATAATTGCGCATTGTCGTGGGACGAAAATTATACGGAATGGGATAATTGAATTTCTTTTTCCTTTTTTTTTTCCCCCGTCAACAATCACTTCTTTTTTTTTTCATTTTTTCTTTTTTCCCTTTTATACACTTTTCACATTTCCATCATCGACGAGCCGTGTCAAAAAGCAACGTGACGATAAAAGCGAGCTGTGTCAGATCGCGATTTATGCAAAATTGATTTAAACATTATAATATTGAAATTATATATATATATATATATATATATATATATATATATATACACATATATATATATATTATATAAGATCGATTTAACTTTATGTGTATTTACAGATATTTCGAGTAAAAACTACATTTACACGTATCGAATAAAAGAGAGAAAAAAATGAGATAAAAAAGAGACGAGAAAAATATTAAGCAATGAAAAAATAATAAAAACACAAGGGAAAAAGAGAGATAAAGAGAAAGAGAAAAAGAGAGAGAAAGAGAGAAAGAGCGAGAAAAAGAGAGAAAAAAACTTACGAATATAATATCAAGGCAAATATTTGCATTAATTTAAAACTAATTATTATAGTTATTTTTCTTTTAAAACTTTAGCTGCCTGAGGGGCTAATTACATCTTTCGTCGTTTTTAACGCGTTTAATAATGAAACGAATTAATTACAAACCATTATTCTTATTTTTCAATATCTCACTTAACATTTTCCGTTCTATAATATAGGTATATATTTATTTATGTATGTAGGTATGTAAATATGTATATATTTATAATTAATATTTATGAAGGATATTGAGATAAGGAATATGTCGCGCAACACTGATCACGATTTAAAAAGAAATGACGATATTTGCCGAAGGGATGAAGTAACACCCTTCTGCGATTTTTTTTTTTTAAAGTCTATCGTTACAACCATCAGAGTTTGCGAATATGGACTTTATATCACTTCGGACGAATGAAACGTACGTAGAGAGAGAGAGAGAGAGAGAGAGAGAGGGAGAGAGAAATAGAGAGATAGAGAAAGAGGGAAAGAGAGAGAGAGAGAGAGAAATAAGAGTAATAATTAATAATAATTGATAATAATTAATAATAATAATAATAATAATAATTAATAATAAATGTACATACGCTTAATATCTCGTATACTAATGCGATTAATCGTCGCACGAGTTGATTATCGAAGTCCTTAAAAGGTACAACGAGAATATTCCTAAATATATTCGCGAAATATTTGTATCCTATGAAAAGTTTGTATATAGATGATGGCCACTAGCTCGATTACGATATGTGATATTATGACAATTTTAATCAGTGAATATTGAGAGATCGTGCTCGCAACGATAACATCCTCACTTAATCAGAGATTTTATTTTTCTTATTATTTTTGTCTGACAAGTTTTTTTTCGAAAAAAAAAAAAAATCTCGGATCTCAGATATCTCAGGTACACCGACTCGACCATCATCGCGGACGCTATTCGTCTTTTCTTTTTTTTTTTTACCTTGTTTTCTTTTTCTCTCTCTTTTTTTTTTTCTTTTTGTCCTTGCATTAGATGTTTAATAAATAGATAACTTTTTTAGTTTTTTTTTAGTAGGTAACTTTTACTTCTTCTTTTCTTTTTTCTTTTGTTTTTTTCATTTTCTTTCTTTCTTCCTTTCTTTCCTTTCTTTTTCTTCTTTTCTTTCCTTTTTTCTCTTTTTTATTTTTTCATTTTTCTCTTTCTTTTCTTCCGTACGTCCATCTTTATGATTTTCAAGCGTTAAAGTTCTGTAAATATCACTGAACGCTTCGACGATAGCACGTTATTAGAGTCTCTTTCTTTCAAAAAGCGAGACCATGAGAACCGATGATTATGAAAGTGGTTTATATACGTAATTTTATAGATAATTCTAAACGATATAAAAGAAAAATTAAATGAATAAATAAATAAATAAAATGTTCGGTAACAATAATGTTCGAACTTTGACCACTTTCATAATTACCAGTACGAATCTTAATATGTCCGATTAAAATTTTTACAGCTTCCTTCGTTCTTTTTTTTTTGGAATTCTTTAAAAATAACAAAAAAAAAAAAAAATGAAAAAAAACAAAAACAAACGAATAAAAAGAGCGAAGGATTTTTTCTGTCGACATTAGTTTGGCTAAAGGAGCATTTTTTCGTTTCTTTCCTTTTCTTTTCTTTTCTTTTTTTCATAGATTTTCTTACTCCCTTTTATCTCGCTGTCTCCTATTCGTAATCTCTTTGGCATGTCGTCGTGACAGTGTCCTTGAATCGCAAGAGCAAAGTGCTTTACTCCATCGTATCGTACTTGACCTTCTTCACTTTGAAATATCGATAGGCCGCATAACCGGTGATAGTTAATAGGACGGCAGCAGCCAAAGTGGAACCAACCGCGACCGGTGCAGTCTCGTCTCCGTTTGCTCGTGCACTTAACGCTGCGCAAGAAAACTCAGCGGCAAATTCGTTGTTCTTAAATTTGAACGGTTGAAGCTTCATATTTCTAAACAAACGAATAAATTAATATTTTACACGTCTTATAAAAACATAAACTTTGTTAGCGTTTCTCATTGACTCGCCTCTAGGTATTTATATGAAACAAAAAAAAAAAAAAGAAAAAAAAACAATTAAAGAAAAATAAAAAAAAATAAAAGAAAATAAAAAAATGTTAATATGTAAATGATTAAAATATAGCTCGGTCATGTGTATATATATATATATATATATATATATATATATATATATATATATATATTATATACATATATACACAGATATATACGTATATACCTGAGGATAACGGTGGCGGTATGTTTGCCATCGGTTAAATGAATTTCCGTTTCATTGTCACAGGCATAAGACTTTCCAACGGGTGTTGGAAAAAGCATGGCACTGTGCTTCGAGCCGGTACTCACGCGAACAGTTTTATCTGAAAAATAAAAATACATATAAGAGAGGTAAAATCCTTCTCCTATCTCCTAGGGTTTTTTAATATCATCCCTTGCCATCGTGTTTTCTTAGTAGAATAAATGGATATTTCGTGTGTATCGAACGTAAAAGAGAAAAGAAATATTGAAGAGGTCGAACAAAGTAATAACTTGACTTACTTGGCTGATCTACTAACTCGAAATGTCGGTCGCTCGAATTGTAGGTCAATTCGATTTTCTCAACGTACCATCGTTCGCCGCCGGGCGTCTGAAAAATAAGTTTTCTCTTTCAATAGAAAACTCTATCTCTTTTATAAAAATGAAATCCTTTTTGCAACGAGATTTTCTTTTCTCCCCATTTCTCTATCCTTCATAAACGATTTTCAAAACAACCAATAGCAATATGTTATCGGGTTTTTAATTAAAGGATAGTTTTTAATTAAAGGCTAGTTTTTAATTAAAAGTTACAATATAATATATTTCTTTTCTATAATATTTATATATTATTTAGAACGAAATTATTCCCACGTCAAATCGATCGTATGACTTTAGTTCGTATTTACGAACTTTTTATTGGTATACACATATAAGTGTGCATATATATATATATATATGCACATTATGCAATCACACACATATATATATATATATATATATATATATATTTCTATATAGATGCGTACTTGACAAACGCGAAAATTGTATTTTAAGTATCACTTCGAAAGAATAGGATTGAAGCTTTTCGACGTGCTTTTTATAAGATTTTTCGAAAGTGCTCGAATAACAAAGTAATCATTATTACGTTTTCAACGAACTACACGTTTTTCTTTTACTATGTAAATTCTATAATAATAATAACCATTGTTGAATTTCATTCGAGAATACATTAAATGAAGTAGCGATGAAGGTAAACGAGAGAAAAGCGAGAAGGAGAGAAAAAAGAAAAAAAAAAAAAAAGAAAAAAGAAAAAAGTCGCGTACCACCTGTAGAATAAAGAATAAGCGAAAAAATAAGAAAAGGAAAGACAACGTAGTGGGAATTAACAAGTAATATGTCATTTTGAAAACTTCTTATCTGTCGGAAGAACGACGATGATGTTGAAATATAAATAACATGTAAAACGATACACGTTTCTATAAATAATATTCGTCGAAACGACTTTACGTTACGCAACGGATAGAATTCGTACTGGAAATAGAACGCGAGTATCGATCTCCAAGAGGACGAAGAAGCTTGCGTCATTACAATTAAGCACAAAAATGATCAACGTGATCAGCGTCGAATAATTTAACGCATTTTATTAACAAGAACATTTGAAATAATGATTAACGTAATGAACTTATCATTATATTAAGATATCTATTAACAATTCCATAATATATATATATATATATTTTTTTTTTTTCGATACCTAATAGAAGCAGAGATATTCGATGACGATAAAAATTTTATTAGGATTTAAAAGGATTATTAAGAAAAAAAAAAAAAGAAAAAAAAAAAAAAGAAATGAAAAAAAATGAGTGTTAATAAAAATTTGTTATAATACCTTGGCGAAGCTCCATAGGAGCATAAAAGCGTTCCACTTCAAGGACATCGTTACCGTATTTTCATTGTCGCAATTTCCTGTGACCATTGCATCGTCGGGCACAAATAAATCTGCCACCTGGGAAATGAGGATAAAGAAAAGTTTTACAAACTTTTTCAACGCCTATATGTACAATACATATGTAATGGATATATATATATGTATATTATATTTAAGTGTCGCGTGACATCTAATACGCTTTCATAAAATTTATATAAATAAATAAGAACGATATTAATGAATGAAACGTAAAGATCATTCTTACTCGATCTTCGCCTAGAACGGTGCGATATTTTATTGCTATAACAGCGTCTGTTTGTAGGAGGATGCAAGCTTGTCCATTAGCTCCGTTCAGACGATAAATCGGATTCTCTCCGGATATGGATCTGTGATGTGTCGTCATCGGTATCGACGTAGTCGACGTCTTTGTCTCCAAATTCATTGGGGTCAACGCATGGAAAAAAAAAATGAACGATATTACCCTTTGTAAATTATTACAATGAATAACGACATATTGTCGTTAACAATAGATCGAGAAAAAATCTTTTCGAGTAATAATAATAAATGGAAGAAAAGAAAGATTAAAAAAGAGAAGAAAAACGAATGGACCAATATCCCTAACTTGATTTCACGAAGCTTTTTCATCCTCGGTTTAATAATGACTGAAACAATAACCAGGATTTAAAGTGAAGGGAGAAATTTAAATTGATTCGCCAGAACGTTTATCCAATTCACCGGTAATTCCTCCTCCTCTCTAATTCCCTAAACGCAGAGATAATTAATCTTTGTAATCGCGTCCTGATGATTCTCGCATTGTAGAACATGAAGTAAATCTTTCTAGACAAAACGTATGAAATTTTATGTAATGTGTATTAACGACAGTAAGTATATGTATATATATAAATTGTATCGCGAACGATCAATTATCATGTTCTATGTTTGAACGTATTGTCAATAGAAATAACGCTTGAGTCGTCGCTCGTCGCTTCCGTGACCGAGGAAAAAGATTGATGAAAGATGTAAATGACTAACACAACTGTCTGATAAACAAGGTAACTGATCGTGTTTGAGCAATGCACGTTATATGCCATGTTATTGATATATATATATATATATATATATATATATATATATATATATATGTGTGAACTCGTATTTACGAATTAAAAATATATGTGCATTACGAACTGGAAAATATATAATAATAATAGTAATAGTAATAGTAATAATAATAGTAATTAATAAATGCCTACGTTAAAGAATATATCATTTGTTTCTAGTATTATAACTAGATTTTCAATCGATCGTTGTGTGCATATATATATATATATAATATATATATACTTATCTACAGTACATTGGAATAATTCTATAGCAAGATAGCAAGAAACGTTTAGCTCCTTTTAGTTTGATTTATTCAAGAGAAAAGGAGGATCGGAGAGAGAGAGATAAAGAGAGAGAAATTCTTAGAAGCATTATATATTCAAGAAACAATCGCCTTTTGGTGTACCACGAAAGCTTGATTAAATCTCGTGAATCACTTTGAGAATCGAAATGAAATTAGTGAGAAAATCAGTTCGTGGAATTAGGAGAGAATACTCAAGGTATATTTGCGGTCTATTCTAATCAGATTTGATTCTTAAGGTAAACGTTCATGGAAAAACTAATTGAACGATAAGATACGATGATATTATCAAACGCGTAGGTGTTTTCTCTTGGAAAAGGGTAAAATCTATACCTATAAAAAAATATATAGGTATTATTATGTAATAGTACTATTCGTGTAATCGTATATATATATATATATATATATATATATCTTCATAGTTGGAAACTTTATGATCTTTTGTTACGCGAGGATTAGTTAAATTGTAGGAAACGATTTGGGCAAGTCAAACGATTATTTCTCGTCACCTTGGAAACGGTTCGACGTCAATCTGTAATAACGTTTAGAAACAAGAAAGAGAGAGAGAAAAGGAAATTCACTTGAAGTCGTTGACGCATGTACACGTTGAATATATTATGCAAAATGTAGAAAGAAAAAGGGAAAGAGATTAACTTATTCATGAATGTGCGTGCTGAAGTAGAAGAGTGAACGTTAAGTAAGTAACTTGGTCCGGACTTCGAAGAAAGAGGGAGGGAGAGAGAGAGAGAGAGAGAGAGAGAGAGAGACTGCCAGTAGTACGAGTCAATAATTCAGACCGACAGGACGTGCATAATCAGAACAGTGTACCGACTTCAATGTTCGAAGGAACAACAAAATAAAATATTTCGTTATTTCTCCATGTTTTTTCTTCTCTCATTAAATATTACAAAGGATATTATTAAAATTCATAGATATCATTCCGGCGTGTTTCATTTTTCTTTTTTTTTTTTTTTTTGTTTTTTTTTTTTTCTTTTTTTATTTTGCATTAAACCTTGAAAAATTTCTTTTACGAATATCTCTCTACTTCCCCTTATAAATTTTATTTTCTATTTCTCATTTTATATTCAGTTATGATAGAGATTTCATATTATCGATTAATAATTACGATCATAAACTATCCCTATCTTCGTTCGTACTTAATTGTCATTGATATATCGGTGTCATTGTTGTCTCATTTATTTTCTTTTTATACATTAAAATCTATCAAAAAGAAAATCTCTATCGAAAGGAAATATATTTGGATACTTACAATTGGCAATCTGGTTCTTTGAGTTGGCAAATCGACTATAGTCTTCGGTATCCTACGTGTCGTATACCTGTGATCTTCCACTTTTAAGGGCGATGTGGTTGGAGTAGGAACACTGAACACGTTGCCCAAGACACACCCTACAGGGAATAGAAAGAGAAATTTCATTAAGCAAAATGAAAGTGGACAAGTAGGGGAAATAAAGTGGAAAGGTGAGAGGATTGAAAGACGGAAGGAGAGAGAAAGAGAGAGAGAGAGAGAGAGAGAGAGAGAGAGAAGGAAGGTAGAAGGAGGAGGAGGAGGAAGAAGGAGAGGAGTACACGCGAGAATGAATTTGCGCGTGACGATGGCTCGTTTTCGGCTTAGGAAGCATAAAATTAAAGCACGTTTCCGTGCTGTGTCGAGGAGAAAGAAAAACATTCGAATAATGTATTCTGTAAATTTACAAAAAGAGAAAGCGACAAAATATTGTATATTATACAAATAGTCATATATATATATATATATATATATATATATATATATATATAATAGTTATATATATATATATATATATATATATATATATATATATAATATGTCAGATATATATTTCGCGTATAAAGGGATGAGTTTGAATTTGTTTCTTTAAAAAATAAAAAAATAAAATTTTCTGAAAAGGATCTCTTCTAAGAACGCGGATCTTTTCTTTTCTTTTTGCATTCTTTAGAAAAAAGAGAAAGAAATATATATATATTATACAGCAGTACTAGTTTTGCCCTTTTTCTTCTCTCTCTCTCTTTCTCTCTATTTTATAGAAATATATAGAAAAGTAAGTAAAATGGAGAGACGATCTTGCGGATAATAATTCAAGAAAAGATTGTAAAAGTTATAGATATAGAAGGAGAAAGGAAGAGGGATGGAGATGGGGGTGGGTTGGGAGAAAAAGAGAGAGAAAAAAAGAAAGAAAGAAAAGAAAAGCAGAAAACTCACACAATAGACAGAGTACTTTGAAGGATTCGCTTCGATGCGCCATGACGACGGACTTCTTTCGATCTTCGCCTTCAAGATTTTTATCCTACGTTGGAAGTAGAAGATAAGGAAGACGAAGAAGAAAAAGAAGAAGAAGAAGAAATAGAAATAGAAATAGAAAAAGAAAGGGAGGAAGACAAAGAAGAGAAAAATATTTTTAACGTAGACTAATAAGATAAATTAAGATAGATATAAAAGAGGATAGAAATAGATAGATAGAGAAAGAGAGAGAGAGAGAGAGAGAGAGAAAGAAGGAGAGAGAGAAGGAGAGAGAGAGAGAGAGAGTGAGAGTGAGAAACACGCACGACGAAGAGATTAAATATGATAGAGATTAAAAGATAGATAGATGAATAGAGATAGATAGATGAATAGATAAATAGATAGAGAAAAAGCGGAGAGAACGAAAAATACGCCCCGTCGTACGTCGCGATCGTACGCGCGAGACGATTACACCGTGTCGACGTTCGCGAAGCTTATGAAGGAAAACGAGTAAGCTCGGGTGCGGATCGATCGATAGAAGGAGCTTTCAGCATGCGCTGCGCTTTCTCTTTCTCTCTCTCTCTCTCCTCCCTATTTCCTCCCTCTCTGTCATTCTCTAGCCCTTTCTCTTTTTCTCTTAAACCAGTATCCGGTTATACAGGGTGTATATCAATTTGATAGGCTTATAGAATTCGTACAATTATTAAATGAAATCATTTTTACTGTGCATACTCTAAATACATATTTAAATTTTATATATATATATATATATATATATATATATATATTTGTATGTGTGTACGTGTTGTGTAATTTATCTATATTATATGTATAAATGTATGTATGTATATATATATTATTCATTTGAATATCGCCGATTTGTATTTTGTATTTGTATATGTATATATATATATATATATATATATATATATATATATATATATACATTCCGTATACAATTTGTGTACACTCTATATATACAAAACACGAAAGCTTTTGGATGATTTCCTCCTCCGCGATGTACGCGATAGCAGTGACGTCGTATCGTACTCAGATTTTCATTCATTTTAAGCTTGCACATCTCGCGTACATTAAACCTCCCGTTGATATTCTGTCGTTCTTTCTTTTTTTTTTTTCCGTCACTTCTTATCGAACATCCTTTATTAATTGCTTCTCATTTATACTTTCTCTCTGTTGTTTCAATTATCGTTAAGGGATTCGTCTTTTTGAGAATTTTATTATATACACAAGGTCTTCTTGATGAAAATAAAAAAAAAAAGATATCTAGGTTACGTGAAAAAATTATGGAAGGGGAAAAAAAAGTAGGATTAGGAATAACGCGAGAATTATAGTCATGACTCCGATGACATTTCGCCGGATATTAATTATTAATCGAAGAATGGAAAGGATTGGGTTTTAGAATAACAGTTGGTATCTTAAGGGAAAAAGGGGATATCATTCGAGTTGATTATTATTGAATGGTAATAGGTTGGTAGAGCATGCGTCATAGTAAAGAAATGAAAAAGAAAAATTGTGCACTAACATTTATCCTACATTAATAAATAATTATCTATCCTCGTTCGCACTAACACGTGAAAATATTATAATACTAATGAATATCGTGACCCGATTTGTATTTAATGTACAAAGAAAAGAATATAGATTTATCGTAACAACTAACTATAAAAAGCATCCCACGCGTTGCATGACTCTCCTATGACATTTTGTGTTATTTTGAAGAGACTCGTGATTACGGCAAAAATCAAAGTCTCAATTTTTTTTTTTTTTTATAATTTTTCAACTTTTATATTCCTACTATAACCATATTAAATTATACATACATGTGCGATAACAATTTTCTTTCAAAATTATCAAATTTTCTCTACAAGAATTATATCATTCGCGTCGAGACTAAATTTTCTTCATTATTTAAATCGAATTATTTGCACTGTGAAATTTATTGCACTCATTCTGTGTTATTTTGAAATCTAAAAATCTTGTCGTTTCGGTAATGAATTTGTAAAAAAGAAAAAAAAATAGACAGAAAAAGAAGAGAAATCAAAAATATCAAATAACCATGTATGGTGTGTCTGCGAGTAAACTAAACAATGATGAAGATTGTCGTTCGCAAAAAAAAAAAAATGGAAAACATAAGTATCATTTACAAACCAAAGTGATCAAGATGCTCGTTTAGGTTTCCTCTTTACGTCGGAATTTTAACGATCACTGCCCACGTTCGAATTCTCCCACGCATTTAACCGTAACTACCCTATCGAACGTGACAGGATATCGCCCACGATTAAGGAAAAAATCAATTCGTTTCGTAGAAAATTTCGATCTAATCTCGCTAATATTTCTAATGAATTATCTTAATTCTTTTCGAAAGACTAACAAATACGATAAACTAGTATTGTCGATTTGATCCTCGTGTTATGTAATTTTTTCTTCTTTTTCCTTTTCATTTGTTTTTCTTTTTATTTTTTTTTTTTTCTTTTTTACCGAAGCAATTTCTATGGTGGATGATAAAAAAAAAAAAAAGGAAAAGAAATAAAACATTATTATATAATCGTGAAAAAATTAGAAAATTAGTCTATAATGTGTCATAAATATGTTATCTAATGTTATGTTGAGAGAATTATTCGCAAAGGGGTGGAGTTATTACGAAGCTCGTATAAACGAGAGAGTTTAACATTAGATGTCGCCATAGGTCAAGATGATTCGTTGATTGATTGAAAAAACGAACGGCAGATAGCGCTAATAGTTGTAAATGGATGAAAAGGAATAATTAAAAAACAGTACAAGTTCGCAGTTTTTACCGGTTAGATTTTTTTCCGGAATCCTGATATATTTGCGTCGTTAATAAGATTCGTTTAATCGTAAGAATAGAACGTAAGAACGTCCTTATATTTGAATTATTCTTATTAATGTAATGTTTATGACTGTCAAAGGTTATTAACGTTTACTCCTGTGCGAAAGGATCATATACATCGATGCTGAAAGTAAGAGATACAATGATGTGCGTACGTTGTTATTCCGGACAATCGAAGGTGAAAAATATTTGTTCCTTTTTTTTTCTTCTTTTTAGACGACAGCTTATACACAAACTTTATATACAACGCTAATTCGATCAGTCGTTCGTTATTTAACATCGAAGAAAATTATGGCGTCGAGCAATCTTGAAATAAAATTATCTTTCGAAGACGAGAAACGTAAGAAATAATTGCCTTCTACTGTTTTACTTTGAATATATTTATCATATATAATATCTTTGTTCGAAAGTCGTCGTCATAGTTAATATTATTAGCAAGGATACGTATATCAATAGTTGTCATATCAGAAGTAACATAAATGATATATTTATCGTTATGTATTCGATTAGAGAAGTTCTTGAACATGCCGATAGAAGAAAAGAGAAACTTTTATAAATCAAATGTAAACACCGTGGATGGAATAACAACATGGGCTGAATATTGGACCAAAAAGAAATATGATAGCAACGTTAAAGCTTCGAAGGAAGTTGAAAAGGGTGATGCCGAGGAATTGGCCAGCAAGATTTCCATTTGGCAGGGAGATATTACCACTCTCGAGATAGATGCGATTGTCAATGCTGCTAACTCGCGTCTTGTGCCTGGCGGAGGAGGTACTAAGGAATGAATTTTATAAGATAGTACGTTATTTATGATATTTAAGAATATGAAATGTTTCTCAGTCGACGGTGCTATACACAGAAGAGCAGGATCCTTTTTGAAAATAGAATGCGCAACGTTAGGAGGATGTCCTGTTGGCGAGGCTAAAATCACTGGAGGATATATGTTGCCAGCTAAATGTACCATAATATACTTTATTTTATAGATTCTCTAA